CTTTCCCTGCCACCGGACCACGAGAGGCAGGGGTTCCCTCTGGCTCACCTCTGCATCCCCACACAACAAACACCACTGCATGTGTTTCAGTGAGCTCGGCTTATGAAGCTAGCTTTACTGAGCTGCTGACTTGGATTCGTCGATTTCCCTTTCAGGAATTTAAGAAGCATTCACTTCTTAAGTCTCCTAGGTTGTTCAGTAATTGAACAACAAATAATTTAAAAATATTGCACTCTCAAACACACCCTCAATAACTGCATGGGAGCAACAGTATGAGCCTGGACTGGGGAACGTCCCGGGAAGAAGTCGAAATATGACGAAGGTAACAAGCGTCACAGCGTCCAATGAAATGAAATGAGGTCCTAGCAACCTTCTAATCATTGCCACATTAAAAATGCATGATGCCTACAGTGGATGTCAGCATTTCAGGCTGAGATATTAAAAAAGATAAAAATGCAGCTCCGGTTACTGCTCAGGTTCACTCTGAGAAGCGGCTCAGAGAAACACAAAAGAAAGGCCACATCAGCTGCACAGGCAGGATGCACACCTTTGATGTCTCTCATAAGCTGGACCCACCCTGATACCTTCTTTCTGTCTGAGGCCAAAGGGCCTCACCCTGCCCCGGAGAACCCCACTCCACCTGCCACCCTTTCCTGCTTCTGGAGGCCAGCAAAAAAGGGGTTCAGCTGCCTGTTCATTTCAACTGCTTTCGAGGGAAGGGTCTTGGAGGTAAAACCTAAGTGGCAGGCTTTGTGCTCATTTGCTTGAAATTATAAAATATTTCAAATGATATATCAAAATCTTTAGTTAATAAAACACCCATGTACCCACTGGCCAGTTAAGAAATAAAATACTGCAGAGTGTGTCCTCTCTCTCCCACCTGCTACCCAATCCCAGTCTCTTCCCTCCTTCCCCAGACACAACCACTATCCTCAATTTGGATTTCCATGTAGGGTTAGAAAGTACTATGAGAAGCTCTCCTTTTATGAGGGATGACAGATTCATCAAAAAATAAGATGGACTTGGCCAAGGCAGGGAGAGAGGCCACAGGAAGTTGGCTGAGAACCTTCTCTGACCCAGATGCTTTTCACAATATCATATTTAACCTTCACCAGAACTCTGCAAGGGAAGAAGTATGCTTGTGGGGCAGATGAAACCTAAAATGTGGTGAGAGAGAGGCAAAAGGTGAGACTGGATACATACAGGCTAGATCATGGGTGCTGTATGTTTTGCCAATTCCACAACCGAAGAACCCTATGTATACACGTAAGAGTGTGTGTGTATATGTATTAATCACGTTTGTATATACACACATGTATAAAATTTCCTAGTGTAGTCGCCTGTTTTAAAATACAGCAGCTAATTTAGTAAGCTGTATCTTGGAATACTACTACTAATTCTCTTGAGGGTAGAAATGATGGGAGTTAAACATCAGGTGCTTGTGCCCGGTATGTGGCACGTGCGCCTAAGAGATCAGCTAATATTACCTCTATACCCATGATTAGTTATAATATAGAGATGCGTTTACTATCAAACAACATAGGGGCGTACGTCTCACGTTTTAAGTCTTTTCTTACATACCGCATTATAAAGCTAACAGTGACCATTCACCCGACAGATTATATAACTACACGCATCCCTTTGTACAAAATTAAGGGTTTACCAAGCAGGTCTTCAAAGGCACGGAGGGCAAGGAGACAGGCCCCTGGTGGAGGCAGAGGCAGAAGGGAGGGACAGATTACAGAGCAGAGTAAGCAATGTGAAGGGAATGTCAGTTCAGGGCCTTAGGGGAGGAGGCGGAGATAAAGGGCTCTGGCTAGGGGCGCACGGCACAGGCATGGGAGAAAATGGCCTCGTCGGCTCAGGACAGTTCGGCGAGGAAGATGAGCCGTTTCAAGATGCTTGCTACGCCCAAGTGCTAGATGACTTCGGGGAGCTGGTAAAGTAGGGGCTGGGGAAGCTGGCGAAGACAGAGATGGAATAAAAGGAAAGAAAAAAATAGGGTGAGAGAGAAATCTGACCCATCCACAATGGAGACCCAC